AATGATAATAATAAAATAAATAATAAAATACAATATCGGAATAATAAACTAATAAAATAATAAACTGTTCTATAACACAATAAAATTAATAAGTAAAGAAGAGCCAATATGCAGACTTCAAGAAATAGTTATAGCCAATTATTTAGATATCATAAAGAATATGAAGTATTCAAATTTTTTTAATAACTAATTTAAGATATATCTTAATTTGTAGTAAATAGCATTTCTTGATTTTAAAGTAGTCATCTTAATAATATCTTCATTTAGAAATATTAATTTTAAATACACTATACTTAATAATACTTTCATCTACAAAATAATGATTTTAAATATCCAACTCTTTATCAAGAAATAACAATTTTAAAAATATCGACCTAATAATATCTTCAACAAAAAACAATTTTAAATAATCTAACTATTTTTTGCCTAAAAATAACAATTTAAATATATCAATCAAATAAGTATCTGCCAAGAAATAACAATTTTAAATATAGTCAAACTAATAATATTGTAAAAATAGCTTTAATTCTCAATAATCTAAATATACTAAATCTAATAAATATCTATATTTAAAATTTTGCATTGATTAATATATAAAAATTAAAAATCTTTGATTTTTATATATATTCGTATAAATAAGCGAAAAGGTACAGATCATTATGTAAGATTATATAATAATAGTATTTAATACTATAGGTTGCTATATCTTAAAATCTAGATAAATAAACAATATTTAGTATTTTAAGCAAAAATATTTAGTGTCTTTAAAAACCTTACTTTACTAAATATTATTTTTGTTTAAAATTTCTTCCAAAGTCCATTGATTTGTAGTTTCAGTTTTAGCTATATTTTTTCTATTTGATTCTAGTATTATCTTTTCACTATCAAAATTAATAAGTTGTTCTAAAAATAAATCTAATGAATTTTTATCTTCTATATAAATTTCTTGAAGTTCATTATTTTCTAATTCGATATCATTATTAGTATTTGAATTTGAGATAAATAATAAATCATAATCACCTAATTCTATAGAATTTATATTTTCATCAATATTGTTTAATGCTTGATTATTTTTAACTTTTTTAGAAGTTTCCATTATTAAGGCAGATTTTATTTGTGAAATCATTTTTAAAGTTAGAACAGTTAATCGATTTTGAGATTTTGTCTTTGTTAGACCTATAGATGAAAAAAGCTATTCAACTCTAGCAGTATGAGAACAAATTGCAAATATTTTTAGTGCAAATATTTTTAGTGCTCTTGCTTCATAAGAAAGACACTTCTAATATAATTATAGTTCTAATGTTAAAGTTAAATTATATGGTGGTTTATTATTAAAATAATTGCTTAATTGATTTGGAATTTCATTTGCTTGTTCTCTTATAAAATTCTATTTTTGAGCAAATATTAAAGTGTAAACTAACATATTATCAAGAGATAATTTTTAGATATAGCTATTTTGCGAAATTTTGGGTGTAAAAAAAACTTAAATAGTATATCAGTTTATCAAATTCTTTTGCTCTAAAATTAATAATGTTTTTTACATATTCAATAAATTTCTGATCGATATTACTATTTTTATTAAATTTTAACATCTTATATACTTTAAATAATTCCTCAAAAATATTTCCAACTGTAGTATTACGTGATTCGAGTCTTCTAATCACATCTACTACATATTTAAGAACTATTGTTAACTGCTTATTTTCTAAAAAATGATGTCGGCTTGTAACTATTTCCTTAATTTTAATTAAAATAGTAGGACATTTATTAGAACTATTGTTATTATATTCAAGACAAGCATTAAAGCTTTTCTCATAATTTTGAATAAAAAGACAAACTTTTGAAAAAGAAAACCAACGAGTTTCACAAAATGTTTATAAGTTATATACAATATTATTATCTTTAGCTCACTGCTTTAATTTTGTATTCTAGTAAATCAAACTTTTAAAAAAATTTACTAACATTAATTTTTTTTTAATCAAATTTTTATAAGGTTGATAAGATAAAATCCCTTTTGCAATAAGGTTAAAAGTATGTAAACAACATTGAATACCAATTATATATCTATATTTTTTTGAAGTCATACCATAACTGAAAGACTGTTAGATACTAATGCGATAATTTTGCTAAAATCTAAGTTCATATTTTTTAATGAACTTTCAATAGCTATTAATAAATTATTTGCTATATATCAATAACTAGAAAAGTCTTCAATATTAATAACTTCACTAACATTTTCGAATTTATATAAAAGAAATGCATATATAGAATTTTCTGATACATCAGTCTACCTATCAAGAGAAAGAGTTAAATCATCAATTTCTTCAAGACAACTAATTATTTCTAATAATACTCTTGTATACTCTGCTTGCATTATTCTATATGTTAATGTATACCTTGATGGTAAATTATAACTTGAGTGTAATTTTTTTAAAAATAAAGCAAAAAAAGAGTTTCAACAAATTGAAATAGAACGTTACTATAAATTAATGATTGTAATAATAATATATGAAGTTTATCAATTTTATCTGACGAAATTGTAGCCTTATCAAAAAAGTTTGTCAAAATAGCTTTACACTTTTTGAAGACATATCTATATCTTCATTCGGGTAAGACTTAACTATATTTTTAGAATGTTTTTTATTAATTTTTTGCATATAAAGTATTTTATCTTCAGCTAATATTTTTTGACAGATAGTTGCTATATGATTCACCATTGCTTCTTTCTGTGCTTCAAATACTTTATTACAATATAAATACTTGGCATTATATCGATATGATTTGATATTTTTAACTTGCTTTGAATGTAAAAAACCTGTTCAGTGAATACCAAAATTCTTAGATAGAATTGTAAATTCATTATTTTCTGAATCATCTTGTAAACCTATAGTACTTGATGAAGTTGCGATATCATCAGAATCTGCAACATCATCTGAATCTACAACATTTTCAGAATCTACAACTGTATTAAAAGCATTGATTGAAGTTGTAAAATTATTATCAGAGTCCATAGATTAGGTTAATTAATTTGTCTCGACAATTTATGTTTAAAATATCAAATTAACAACCAGGTTAAATAGCTTTATATAGTTTTTGATAATTAAAAAATAGATAAAAATTTAAATATGATATTATATAATACACAAATTTATAAAAGTACTTATTTATAGAAATACAAATATTACTAATGCTAAAGGTTATTAATAATTAAAACAGACTAAAGTTTATTACAAAAGTTATGACAAAAATAAATAATCTAAATCAAATTAAACTATATTGATATATTATATTACAGTATTTTACTAATTAATTTGTTTGACAGGTTAATTTGTAGATTGAAAAGCAATCTAATAGCGTATTGACAATTATACATGCAATTAGCATGTCAATATAGTTATACTATGTCAATTTTATTTTATATACTGTAATTTATAATTTTACAAGAAGGGTATTTATTAAGTTGTGCTCTGTGAAATTACTTTCTAATACCCAATCTTTCTTATATAATCTTTGACTCAACACAACACAAATTTGAGCTTGCTTAGTTATTTTTAGTTCAACACAAAACAAATTTAGCTTTTGTTTCTCAGTTATTTTTAGATTCTTTTAATCTAGCACAGCGCGGATTCGAGTTGTGTTCACTTTATTAATTGTTTTCTAACACAATATAAATTTGGCTTGTGCTTCTTCTCATTCAATCCATACAATATTTCTTAATACAAGCTGACTCTTGGCTTTTGTTCACTCTACACAATATTTTTTAACACAAGCCAACTCTCAGCTTTTGTTCACTCTACACAATCGGTACCAAAAATGTTACAACCAGGGGAGAGACTTTATATGAACACAGCTATCCCTATTTATATACATATTATTAGACTATATACTACTACATAATTATGGTACATCAATATGAAAGTTTAATTAAAGTAACCTTGTAACTACACTAAACTATAAGGTTACAAAAGCTTATTTATAAATATGATATTATTTTTCGTCACAGTATATAATCAAAGTTGCAATTTTATATTTTACTCGGATAATTATCTGGTTAATCTACCTAGATAGAGTTACTTGGATAACAAATATCTTAACTGGATATCTGTTGTATCTGCAAGTTATTCGGGTAGCTTTTGCCCAGGTTCAAACCTTAGAAGGATAGATAATTAAAATATATATAAAAATATGAAACTCACATAAAGGTAATTATATTATTGATTACAAATCTATCCTTAATACTGCATAGGTTTCACTCTGTTATATTAAAATTTAATGAATTACCAGCTCTGGATATCATGACGCAAATACTAATATAACTAAAATTTTGTCAAGATATAATAATAATGCAGACTATTGGTAAGGTTATTTTTAACAATAACTCTAAAAAGAACAGATCATATACATATTCAGCTTTGCTATTGACAGAATTCTGCCAATTTTGCAAAGCCTTTTATACATATTTTCAGCTAATCTTTTTGCAGGAAAAATAAAACTATAAAATGTGTTATACGTACTAGAGGTGCATTGCACAGTTTGGGGCATTGTATAATTAATTTTTATCAGAAACTGATACAACAAGTGTGTAGTTAGGGGCTTTGCAGTAGAAAGAACCTAAATGCTATATATAATATATATAGCATTTATACCTTTTCTACTGCAAAGACCCTAGTTATATGATGCATGAAGTGTTTTTGTATATTCTTTTTTACATACCAAATTTACTATAATTAATCAGGCTTTAAAATATTGTCTAATTTAGGCTTATAAAACAGCTACTTATTATATTTAGCATTTGATTAATACTGTTTTACTTATATGTTCTCAAGATATTTTTTGATGATTTTGAGTTTAAATGAATGTGTTGAATTGTAGCAGGACCCTGAGCTATACATAGATAGGTTAGAATTTATTTTTGTTTATTTTTTGACTATTTTTTGCAGATCTTTACTATTTTTAGTAATATATATGCTTATTTTGACTATTTTTACGCAGATCTTTTACTTTTTTAGTAATTTGTTAAGATTTTTTAAAAATCTTAGCTGTACATAGATTGCTCGGGGTCCTATTGTAGCATTCGTATAAACCAAATTCATTAAAAACAATTTAGCTATTCTCAAATTACAGAAAAATTCTAAATATTTTCGCTATATACTTTAGTTATTTAATAAAATTAAGAAACAGTATTAATAAACATTATGGCAATATAACAATATTACAATATAGAATTATAAAAAACAGCATTCAGCATTACACATTATCGTGATATAGTTTACTGTAATAATTTACAGTTTTTACAGTATTCAAGATTTTATGCATAATTAATTGCGACATATAGCTATTTAAAAATAACAACTATATAAATGCTAAGATCTAAATAATTATCTAAGTTGTTAAACTTTTAAATTTTTGAATATATAAATAACTTATCATAATATTAAACTGTTAGAATTGTTATATTTTTAACTTCAAATATAATTTACTGATTTATTTGTTCCTGGTTCTGGTGCAAATATATTGCGCAGCTACGTACTTTATTTGAAATCGATTATTGTTAATGCTAGTGTTGTTATAATAGAGGGTGTAGTTGCATAACTTTCTAATTATCGATATATATTTGTTTGATATGTTATTACTAATCAAACAACTGTGATCTCAATTATGATACTATAGCAGCCAAGAAATTAAAGAAAATGCATTAGAATTAAGCTTTATTGTGATTGGCTCACCACCCCTGTGCCACACCTAAATTGGTATACCATGGCATGCCTGATTTTAAAGCACCATTGGCAACACCATACACTTTGCACCACCAACCCTACTTGTAGTACTGTTACAGTACCGTGGCCTTCTTAACAGCAGTACTATAACAATAATACAGCTACAGGGATCCTTTACAGGTTTATAGCGGTATCTAACAGGTAAGTATAATTTCTACTACAACTAGAAACTATACTTTTCTGTCTGTGGCAGTTCGGGCAGACAATAGTTTATAGATAAAATATATGTTTTATTAGAGAAAATAAGATAGGCTA